TTAAAAAAAACTATCCGAGATGAGAAAGGATAGATTAATTCCTTCTCGGAAAAGTAACAACGCTCCGCATTCTTCCCGTTCGGCTGCGATTCCCGATCGCTCGATTTATCGGTGCGAGATGCAATTGTTTCAATGGAACCGCATCGAAAGAGTGCGCAGCGCGCACGCAAAATCGAATTAAAGTGGAGAATCGTCCGGAATTTCCGACGCCATTAATCAAAGCATTCTTGACGTTGCGAACGAACGAACGAAAAAAATGAAAGGTTGATTCTTTCGTTTTCTCTCTTCTGTGTGTTGCTTTGTGCATCTCTCGTTCTCTTTTTTTCCTTCTTGCAGCAATAAGTTAACAGATTTGAGAAACAGCCCAAAGCTGGATGGTGTGGTGGCGTGTCATAAAAAAAGCGGAATAAATTACAATCTTCGAAGGCAGAAGTACAAAAGCACCACCACCACCACCATCTGGTTGGTCATCCCACATATAACACCTCTCTTCTTTCTTCTTCGTCCGGACACCCTTTCCTCCTTCACCCCCTCACCCTCCTGACCTCTCTTTCAACCTGCCACACAATGCATTTACGGACAAACGCAGATCGAATCACACTGCTTTCCCCTCTCTCTCTCTCTCTCGCTTCATTACGATGCATCCATAGGAAAGAAAGAACCTTTTTCTTCTTCATATCTTTTTCTCACTTACACTCGCACCGAAGAAGAAGAAGAACACAATCGCAGCTCTCGAAATTCCAATAGCCGTTCATCCTAAACGGATTTTCCCCGATAACATTCTCCTTTTTATTACGAAATTTGTATCGATGATTTATCGCTCTTCGAATTCTTCCTTTCTACAGCAACAACAAATAACAACAACAACAATCGAAGAAGAGAAAAAAACTGAATTGTAAATGGGGGATCGAGGAAACTTTTTCAAAAATATCGAATGTAAATCTTGTTCGGAATTATAAATTAATTCATCAAGATAAGAGGAAATTGAATACGAGGCGAATGTAATAATACGTGCTTTTTATCATTCGATGATTGCGAATCTTGTGCGAGGAGAGCAGGAAATCGAAAGAAAATTGAAAGTGGGCTGGTAGGTAGGTAGTAGGATGCTGCGTACTAGTTAGTGTATATAGTGCAAGTCGCTGAACGAAATGAAAAGTAGGAAATTTCATTGGATACCTTTATGGTTCCTATATGGTTGTCAATTCTGATTTGTTTAATTTGGGTCAGCCATTTTGGTTGCTAAGGGGAGGCGTTGCTTAATGTTTCAATTTATTCGATTTCAATTGAATGCTGTTGTTGTTGTCTGATTCGGCAGTGTTTTTTTTTGTCTCGATATGAAAAGTCAGTCGTGTGTATGTTCAATTATGTTTGATGTGTTGTGTGTGTGGTGTTAACAGTTGGTAATCGATGGGGATTGCTGGATGATGATGGTGGGTTGATGATGATGATGATGGTAATAATAGCTCGAGGAGGAGGAGGAGGATTAATAATAAAAAAAAAGTGTGCAGAGAGTGGACGGACGTGGATGGACGCGAATAGAGTTCTCGATCGTAGAGAGAGGAAGGAGTGTGGTGTGTGTCCTCCTATCTCGCGTTTCCAGTTGGGCCATTTATAGAACTGGAAACCATGGGAACAGAAATCTCATTATCCCCCCGAGATGGATCCGCTCTCTCCTCTCCTCTCCCGTCACCAATAAGAAGGAGAAGAAGAAGAAGACGACGCACTCTCAACGCACTCTGCGCACTACATGCTACCTACTAATACAACTACTGCTCCTCGCCAATCTTAACTAAATGACTAAATCAAATATGTTCGACTTGTTAACGATTTCCCCCTTTTAAATGCATCGCATTACACGCAATTATGCAAATCATCTCGGGCGATGCGATGCGATGCGATTCGCTTTTTCACACCGATCCGATCGAGGAGGAAGCCATCAGCAACGATTAAGACAGGCCTCCAAACAAATACTAAACACACACATTTTCCTCCGCTTAATCCGATCCATTATCGATCCGAACCACGCAATCTTCAGCGGCAACTGTCCTCTTCTCAATTACGATTTACCAATCAATAATACTTGATTACTATTGATTGCCTTCTATAATTGTAGAATTAATTGAAATTTGATTCAATCGTAAATTGGTACTGCTACTTGTATTTCCATGATTAGCAAACATCAATTGGTATTGAATGATAAGTTACCAGGAATATTAGTAATAAAACTAATACAATGTTACCAATATCAAAATTGTTAGTAAATTATGAAATATTACTATATCATAAATAACAATAATTACAAATGGTTAGAAACGCATTGTAAATGGACATCTTCGAGTACTTTTGGGTGGGTCACTGCACATTGTGCCTGCCGATCAATAAAAGTTACTTTATTTCTCATTCCTAGAACAGATTAACCCCCTTTTTTACTGCATCTTTCTCCCTTGTATTGTTAATCCAGAGGGCTTTTGTCGTTCGCAAAGACGAAGAGATGATGAATAACCGCACATCTGTTTTCTGTTTATACTTCTCTTCTCTATAACCACCACCCACCCATGGCGCACCCATCCATGGCTTTTCATCCCCCATTCGGAATAAAACGACCTTTTCTGCCTCCTACGATCCTTTTTTTTTCGTCCTTCTTTTTGTTATTTTTTCCCTCCCTCCCCCTCCTCACCGCTGCACGCCAGCAAGATTTCCAATTTCTATGACACTGAACACATTTCCTTCTTCACCCACAAAACAACAACACAGACACAAAAAAAAATATAATACTACGAGACGGACCAACAGGGACCAGAAGAAGAAAAAAAACAAATCCTGTAAACGATCCAACATTGACGTCCAAAGATGAGACGAAATATGAGAATTTTAATCGTCCACAAATTGGTCCATGAATACATCCGCCTACGAATTGATTAATGTTATGATAAAGTTTCCATGGCGATAAAGGATTCGTGGAAACTTTACGTTACCATGGTGATACTTTTAGAAAAAGCTTGCGTAATAAATCGCATCGATCGATCGCATTAGGCATTCCATAAATTAAAGCTAGCGACGAATTTGCGATTTATTTTAATTATTTTATTTTTTTTCGGTCGGGGTTAAATTTATGTGATTTATGCAAATCTCGGAACGGCGAGATTTGTGCGGTGTTACGTGTGTTATGCATAAGTTTTTTTGAGGTATTTCCGAGAAGTTCGTTGCTTCGAAGGCGAGAGATGAGATGAGCATGGGTGCAACTGAGAAGGAGATGAGATTCGGGGGTCCGTCTTATCTGTAATGGGGCCAGGTATAAACACATGTAGAACAAGAGTTCGTATCTACAGGAAAATGAAAACACCAGAAATATTATCTGAAACCACGGCGAGCAGCAAGATTATGGGGGCTCTTTCTGTTCGCTGACCACCGAATTAATTCATTAGCAGCAGCAGCAGCAACAACAGCGGGTCCGGTTTTACGAGCTCTCTTCGAACTCTTCTTCGACTTATTCGCAAAAGCTAACTGTTAATGATTACAAGATACGTCAAAGAAATGTCATAAAGTTAAATTCATGATTAGCAGTCAAATTATGACGTATATGTCATTTAATAAATCGTTTAAGGTTATAATAAAAATGACATTTGACGTATTTGACGTTTCTGTGACATTTATTCGTGACATTCACTGGCGATTGACGAAATTGAAGCTGCGAATCCGAAGATTCTTCTAATACGGATTTATTGATGTCGTCTCCACTGATTTATTGGATTGAATCGATGCTAATGCGATTCATCGCGAGGATTATAATAACGAAGCACAAACTGATTACCGAATTCGGGAGAAAGTTTACTGGCATCGATTAATATGGTCGAACAACTGTTATTAAAAAAATAAATAAATAAATAAGTTAATTATCATTCTCTCTCTTTCCATCGCTCGCATTTATTCATTCGAGAGATGAAATTTTTAATAATCGGCGCGTTTTAATTAACCAAATCGAGGCAGAAGCGAGAAGAAAAAAAAAGCGACAGTCGGATGAACGTTGTTGTTATTTTGTTTTGTTTTACTGTTGATCAGGAAGGAAACTTCGGATTAAAAGCGTTTAACTTAATGAGGAGTTTAATTATTGAATTTATATAAAAAAAATGAAGAACGAAACAAATATGCAGTGAATCTTGAATGATCACGTTTAGATTAAGTGAGATTTTCTAACTAAGATAGATTAATTAAAAAGAAACAAATGAAATACCTGCGTGGAGCAGTTAAATTTAATTACGGAACATTTGAATTCTAATTTTCGTTTTTTTTTTTAAAACTTTTTTGTGTTTTATATCAACTTATCTCTGACATTTTTTTTTTAATCTAATCTTCGTTATGTAGTTTACTGCGCTACACAAATAGATTCGTTCCAATCAAGATTTCAGTAATCCAATTTTCAAACCCAGTTAACTTCAACAAACTTATTATTATTATATAGTTTTACCTTCTTCTGCATATTTAATATCTATTGGAATGAAACGTTTCCACGCTTAAAATTTGTTACTTCAACTTTGACAGATTTATCTTTAATATCCATATTGAACTGTACTCTTTAACTGCATTAGTTTTGTAGTAATGAAGTGAAACATTTTTGTTTTTTCATTGATGCAGAACAAATCTCCTAATGCAACGTCACTTCTGACAGTCACATTTAATATCGAAGAGGAGATAATGCCTGATGGAAACGACTTTTGATTGTGAAGCTCTAAAATGAGGGAGGAGAGGTTGATGAGAATAGATGCATCCGATCAAATTGTATGCGGTGCTGCTTCTTTTACAACAAACAAAAAAAAAATATTCCCTTTGGTTTTCTTCTCTCCTCTCTTTTTTCGTTCCCTTTTCAAAGACTTTGAAAGATGAGTGGAGGAGGAGGAGGAGGAGAAGAAGCACTCTCGGCAGAGCGAATGTCGTAACAATTGTCCGGACACCGAACAATGGTCCCCGTCCCGCTTGATCTCTTTTGTGTGATCCAAGAGAGAGAAAGAGAGAGAATCATTCTGTTCATCATGATCATGATGATCATCATCATCGTTCCGTCTCTGTTTAGTTTGTGTGTTCGAATGGTGTTCGGCATGTGTTGCTCTCGCATCTCTCTCTCTCTCTCTCCCAATAGGAATCTCTAGTCCGTCTTCGTCTTGGTTCGTCCCCTCCTCACCGCACCGTTCCTACGTTCTTCGCCCCGCGCCGCCCGCACTCGTCTTTTTTCGTCGCATTCACACCACTATAACAACCTGTGACGGAACGCGCAGGAGCTCAGTCGCCGTTCGAGAGAGTCGCAGTGTGTTGCTGCTGCTTCTGCTGCTGCTGCTGACGGTCATGTAAAATTCTCGATACGCAAACTACGAACGAAACAGCTCGTTCATCTCATCAAACAACAACAATATATCTGTGTGCATAAAACCGACAAGTGTGAGAGAAGATGTAGAAAGTCGTACGCCACAACAACAACAATAAACCCTAATCTGTGATATGTTATTAAGAAGTATGTTCGAGAATAAGTCTTCTTCGTAAAGAAGCTGCTGCTGCTGCTGCTAGACGGAAAAAGTGATCCAGTGCGATTTGGACCAATATGTTACGTAACTGAAATACTCTGTGATACGCGTATATTCGTTAAGCCGAAAAAACATCGTTTAGGTGTTTCGTAAATATACTTATCAAAAAGACAATGAAAAACGGGCAGACGACAATGACTCGAAGGAAGAACAGACTCATGAGGGCCAAAAAACAGAACGGTAAGAATCAAAACCAATTTACCAAGTTTTGCACAACCAAATCGAATGTGCCAATCGAAAACACAATCATTGTCCACAAAAATATCATTTGTTTTGAATTGAAGTTACTGCTACATTACCCTTTGGAACCAAAAATATCATTTACATAAAAATCCAGTTAAAAAATCCAGTATCGATTGCAATGTAAATTTGAACGTATGGAAAATTAAAACGTTCAAGTGTTTGTCCAAAGCAATATTGTCATTATCAAATATCAATGTTAAAAAGCGTGTCGTAACGAAACAGGGCATTATCTATGTGAAAGTCCAAAAACCGGGTAAATATTCTTGAAAATCTCTATTCAAATATGCACAAGAAATATGTTTGGTTTGAGAGTTAACGTTCGCTTCCTTCTAAACGAAATATCCACAATCAAGTGTCAATTGGAAGTGACAGGCGAGATTGTATCAAAATAACTCAAAATATGTCGAAATAATAACGCACGATCTTTGTTGTTAATGTTGTTACACTTTCTTTTTGGTGTGCTATGCACGATCGATTATTAAAATCTCGATTATCTAACATTTTTACTGCCGATTCACCGTCTCTCTCTGACGTTTTTCCAGTTTTTAATAATTGTTAGGATACACGTCAATTTTGACAATCGCCTTCTTTAGTTTTGAACTTCTGTCAAACGTGACTTTTTGCGATTTGTTGTTGTTGTTGTTGTTTTTGAAATTGTTTTGTTAGGCGGGCGCCGAAACTGCGATTCGCGGACGAGAGGAGAACGCGAAAACCGATCGCCACTCAGAATCTTCGCAGCCACACGATGAATAATTCAATTCCGAGCAAATCTAATTAAACGCAGGGAAATTGATCAATTAGCATGCGCCGTGCGTGTGCCCGTTCGTTGTGCACGCATTCCGATCGATTTGGGCGACGCACGTGATCCATCTCCGCAGATCTGACTGTCTGTCACTTTGCGTTGATATGAACTCATTTTTGTGACATAACTTCGAAACATCTGTCAAATTTATTTTCGAAGGTTAAATTAATCTTGACATGTACGTAAACTGTCACATTAAATCAATGACAGTCGACCAGGTTTTAAAAAAAAACCTGTTCGTAGTATTTGAAACGATTCGAATTGAGCGGATTTGCGTAAGTTTTCCGCAATTGTCGTAAATAGAAGTCGTGACGTTTTGTTTTGGCGTGATGTAAGATGGGGACTTTGCCTCACATCTCCTCCGCCAAAATCGAAATTGTCGCATTTGAAACATCTGTTGAGAACAATTAGACCGATGTGTTTGTTGGCTGCGGATTTGCGGAACGATTGCAAATGATTCGATGGAAATGAGAGAGAGGAGGAGGAGGAATCGACCGGATTTTACCACATAATTGGCGTGCACGTGAACGGTGTGTTGTGACGTTTGAAACGTCAAATCAGTATGTGATGTAAGTGGTGGTGGTGGTGGACTCGCCGCCTCCGGCCGAGATTCGTTTGTCACACAGCGGTAATGGTAATTACATGTGTTGTGCTGATAGAGAGTGTGTGTGTTTGTGTATACTTCTCGTTCTGCAATTAAAAAATATTTAGAGCGAAAATGCCGCAAGTGGTGTGTATAATAAAATACCTACCTGTGTTGTCCCGGTAATAATTAGTAATTAGTCAAGGTTGCGTAGACGGTGACAGAGGCGGGCGGGACATTTGAATTAACGTTTGCTTGCATTTCATCTCACCACTCACCATCATCCTTCGAATGCCGCTCCGTTACCGCCAACGTGTATATGCATGTTACGTAATGCAAATGCACTCTATCGTCGTCGTCGTCGTTGTCTTCAGGTGTTTCTCGGGATGCCCTCGTTAGTTGGCCGAGTTCGTATAATGGGTCTCCTCGCATTACGTCGTTATACGCACCTAATAATCATTTGCCCCGCAACGATTTGCGCAAATCGCCGATGGACGATTTACGATCGCTCCGTTTCATCCACTTCCTCCTCCTCCTCCTCTTTCTTCCTTCTCCAGCGAGCAGAGGACAAAAACCCATCTGTTTGCGGCGAAGGAGTCGCGATAAAACGCTCACAATAAACCCGCTTTGTGTCCGATCCATCCCGCCCGCGGCAAAAGAGACCTAAATTGATTAATCGGAGCGAAAGAGCAGAAGCTGCACAGTTTTATCGACGGGAAATCGTTCGTTAAACACGCATACACACATTAACAAATCGTCAATTGAACTCGCAACTGCATCTTCCGTTTCAGACAATTGTCATTTGAAACGTCACGTATCAATTGAATTGCCTAAATGATCAACATTGAACAACAGTCAATATTTGACATCAAACGTCAAACGTTTGTCATCGGTTTTCTTTAACAATTGTTTATCAATTGTTTGTTGTTCGAGTCGCTATTATCCGCCGCCGCCTCCCTTATCAATCTGCCCATTCAATTGATAGTAATAATTGATTAAAACGCTCATTGTTCAATTTCCGTTCTTTAAACTTTTTCCTCCCATCGACTCGATTGAAACGCGCGACCCGCGATAACGGGTGGATTTGCAATATTTGTATTGTTGCACAAAAAGCGAGTCGCGTGTGCATGAACCGATACATAATGGAAAAGCGAGAGCGATATTCTCGCTAATCGCGACGCACGATTATTATTACTAAACCGACGTTATTTTTAGTCATTTAGACAATGCTCTCTCTCTCTCGAACGACTAAATAAAATATAACAATCGTTTCGATTTCAATGGCGATTGGTTCGCGTCGATTGATAGATCGAACAGAGAACTATTCAATATCTTAATGGCATCTTGTATTATAATAATGTACACTATATCAAACTTCTTTGTTTCTTTTATTATTTATCTAATAGACATTCAACTCCATTAGATTAGCTAGCAGAATCACTTTCAATATTCTATAATTCAATCATTCTAAATAATTAACGTTCAATCATGCAATTAGTGTTTAATATTACGTATTAGAGAAGCGTCTTATCAATCCGAACTTATCTTCCATTGTCGATCCAGATTGACACAATGACATATCTATCTGTCATTGTTTACTCGTTTTTTTTTTAATTTGTATCTGTATCCGCCACCTTTTCTCACTAGTGATTCGAGGAACGCAATACACGTAATAAATTCCTTGGAAAGAAAAAACTATAAACAATACCTGCAAGTATATGACTATACTGTATTTATTACACATTTTTCCACTTACGAATATCGTCCTTTGTTTTCCGGCGATTTCGGGTTATTTTATTTGGCATTAGATTAGATAATGTCGCCACCTTCAATAAATGTTTTTTTTTTTCGTAGTATGTGCCACGATAATACGATTATTATTGTTATACAAGTTAACAACAACAATGATACTGCCTATATTGCGAATGTCACTTTGTATGTTATAAAATGACATTTGAAATGTGACAGATGTCATTTTTAAATTAAATTATGAATGTAAATTCGATCGTAACGTTTATAAAAAGCGAAGTAATATATAACCTTTATTATCAAAAAAAAAATTACAGCTCAAGTGGTTAATGTCAGGTTAAATTTTACGATGGTCGTTTTATTGCGATTCCAGTGATAAAGCTTGGTTTCGGAGTTTGGCAATAAATTTCGGGAGGGAAATACGTTTCGTTTTATTCGTTTCTCTCGTCCTTCTTTATCGAGATAAATTATGATGTGCGGGGGTTGGTTATTAAAGAAGATTAATTCCTCGGTAGAGGTGTGAGGCTCGTTAATTCTTCCATCTCGCTCTGCTCCCTTCTCCCTCGACGTGTTCGAAGTATTCGGTCGATCGTTCTTTTATTTCTTTCTCGCTCCTTTCTTCTCGTGGTGGTGGTGTAGTTATTTTTTTCCTCCTCCTTCTCTTGCTTCTTTCGACGTTTCGTTGGAGCCGCGTCTGGTGGGTGCTTTATTTCCCATCGCGTACCACCGACTTGGCGCCTCGTGCAGGTACCACACCACACGAGGGTACCACACAGGTACCACTCCTCCTACCGTTCGGCGCGCGTTATCCTCTCTCACTCGCACCCACGCCCTTGTCTTCTCTCTTTCTCTCTCTCTTTTTCTCTTCGTCCACGCTTAACCCGATAAATGGCCTGGGTCGGTCTTTATCTCCTCCGGACCGTTTTAATTAAACGTTTTTTTCGAGACTGGCCCACCACAATAACCATCACCAGATGAGCGCCGCTGCGAAACAAGAACGGGAACACCTCGCAGACGAAGATGAGACCGAAATTATTACGGCGAGAGAGATATAAATTAAACGCGCGTCCCATCCCATTTAAATGACGTTTAAATTCGATCGAATCCGAAGAGTAACAGTGGAAGGAGGAGGAGACGACGAGATGAGAAACGGTCCAAATTACGACATTATCTGCCCGAGAATAGAACCACGCGGAACATTCGAGTTTCCTCAATTTGCAACAATCCTAAACAAACGAACATTTGTTTTGCCATAGCAACCTTTGCCCATTATCGACATCCGTAAACCCCCTAAATCTTATCTAAACGAATTGTGTATTATTGTGGACTTAATCTGTTTACCTAATCACAATTAGACTCGAGACACAAAATACAATTAGTTATTGTTGCTGTCTGGATCGACCTAACACTTAATTGATGTTTACAAACAAAAAACTTATTGCATATAAATCTATTTTATATTGCATATTAATTTAGTAGAACTTTCTTTGTCAACAATAATTCTCTAACTATTTTCTATTAAGTAGAATACCTTATTAAGAAAGATTGCAAAAAGAAGAAAAGTCACGTACAATCATCGTTTCTCCTTATCTAAATACGTTGGATTTCCATTTCCCCATGTTCGGAGGATTATCGAAAAGAAAGAAAAAGACGTTTCTCGAAAACCACTGTGTATCTATCTCTAAGTCTAAGTCCTTTTGGATGTGGAAAGTCTCGACTTTCCGGCCACTTGTTGCCTGCCGTATCCGATTTCTAATAGAAAAAAAATCTGCTCCACACACGTTCCAATATCCAATAAATCTT